TGCTACTTCCGGAATAAATTAATTATACGCAGTCCATAAACATGTTATGGGATTGATGATAAATTATTAATTACTATTCAATTAATGCATCAATTATGTTAAATTATTATTAAAACACTAAAATAATAACATTCTAATATTGCGATAACACGATTTGTGAACGACAGTTCTTTGAATAAATTTCAAAAGGTGCATAATAAATCTCTTCATGCTTTGTCGGCGAGTTTTACAAAACAGCTAGAACATTTCGCGCATTCCACGTTCTCAAATTCGCCGATAAGCTGTGCACGTGTCCGCACCGATGAAATTCATGCACCGTGGAGGGATTTCACACTGTAACGATCATCGATTTCGCCTCTGAGACCGCCGGACTTTTCAGGCGTTTATCTCTAAATTTACGTTTTCGATTATACGGTCGTACACTGCTAATTTCTGAAAAAAAATATCGGGTGTCGATATCGCGTTTCATTCGCAATTAAAGATAAAGATCACTCGATGAAATCGACACTCTTTTTTTTTTTAATTACTATTATTATAAAATTAAAATGAGGTCTAATTAAAAATAAAAGATCTTATTGACCGGAGTTGAAAATAGCTTTTTAAGAAAATATCGAACCGGCCTTCCTTCTTTTTTTTAATTATTTCAATAAAAATATTAAAAATTGATACTTCTGATAGAGCTAAACGCAGCGCAACGCTGAAATTTATGTTGGAATTTAGTTTAAATAATCGTGGGTTATTTGCATAATTCTACCTATAATGTGGAAACAGGAAAAAAGAATGAAACCAAGCGACATAGCCGCAAACAGGCCTCGACATCGATTTTCTCAGCCTTAGTCAACGCTAACTATAATCAACTATAATTACTCCACTTTTTTTATTATAATAAAAATTGTAATATAAAGGGAAAGTGTGAAACACACGTACATACACGCGCAGACACACGCAACGACCTACTAAAACAGTTTCAGCAATGTCAATTAACTTCAATTAGTCGACTGTTTATCTCTTTCTACTTCTAACGGGAGAAAAAGACGAAGATTCTCCCAACCAAGTTAATTCAATCGACATCGGTGAAGTGTTACTACCAAACGAAAGATGTTAGCTTTGCCCGTTGAAAACCGCCGCGTTCTAAATGGCGCAAACGTTAAATACTGCGACGAACAAATGGCACAATTAAAGCGACTTCTCGTACAAGTTACGAGACGCGTCCGTTTCTCTTCCGCGGCGCGGAATTGCCCGGCACCGGGGTTTCCGCAATTTAATCTCTTGTTCGATCGCTAACGTTCACACGATAATCGACTGCTCTAGTGAATTCAGCCTTAATCGGCATCTATTTCTGGGCAACGAGGAAAGTTCGCACGATGCATTTTTTAGAATGCACTGAAATTGCTTTCCTCCAAAGCTTAGTCTTGTCTAGCTTTAAATATAGACATTGTTAAATTATCGATATCGCTCATTTAAATATAGATATCGTTGAATTATTTATTCCCGTTAAATTATTTATATTCAACATTGTATTGAAAATCAACCATCTAGTAATCTAAAATATCAGTCGCTCTTCCATTTTATGGTTATAAATCAGCGTATAAATTATGATATCAGAAATTTCTCGTTCGTTCTTGAAATCCATTGAAATCTATATATAGAGAGAGAGAGAGAGAAAATAGATATTATTGCGGATATATTATCTACATTTTCTCACATTCCACAATAAAAGGAAAATTATATTCATTATTTTACGATAATAATTTGTGAACCTATTAACTGTATTTCGATGTATTTTTGCTTGTTATCGGTTTGTATTTCTCTGAGTATTTATGGATAATGACGATTGTATAATTTTTATCGCTCCGTGTTATCAGTTTACTGATAATTTATGGTAACATATCACGATGATGATTCACGAAGCCATTTATCATCAATAACCATTTATCTTTGTATTACTACGATAAACTTACAATTTTTTGGCTTTTAAAATATACAGTAAATAGAAATTAATGCGTAATGTACCTGAATCGAAATTTTATTCTTAATTTCAACCTCTATTTTTTCACGTTTACGGATTCTGAAGGATTTTGATAGGTTTTATTTATATAAGAATATGTATTGTATTATATTTGCTCCTATTTTGTACCTCAAATAAGCAGTAAACGAACTGTTTCCCATTATGAGGTTTAAAAGAAAAGTTTCGATAAAAAGCCAGAGGTTAAATAGGTTCAAGATAGGGTGATGTGATTACTTAAAGTATCTAATTAGGTGTTAGATTAAACATTTTGGTCGAAAGTAGATGTTAGATAGATGTTAGATTGAACATTAAAGTCAAAAATAGGAAAAAAATTTCGACTCGGGTACGCAAAACTATTTCAATGCACTAAAATGACACCAAAATTATCTATTTAAAACGAAAATGAAGTTAATTAAAGTGACGTCACGGAAAAACTACGTGGAAATAAAACACTTAATATCTTCGATTACGCCGCGCTGTTGAAAATTTTAATATCAAAAACCAGGATAATTCCGAAAATTGATGTAATAAATTTCTGATATTTCTGATGTAAAAAGGACATTATAAAAAATTGTCCAGAAAAAAAATACTAATATTCTACAAGTATTACTGTTATTGCGATGAAATACTGAAGAATCTTTGTGACAGTAATAACTAATATATGTCTTTTTCATGATAAAATAATGACTGAATCAGTCGCTTAACACATCTTTTTTCATCTCAAAAGTCAATCAAAAGTTAATCAAAAGTCATCTCAAAAGTTTCAGATAAATATTAAGTCATTTTCCTATCATCTTTCTAAGCATCAAAAGAGATGATCCACGTAGACGAAATTCGATGAATGAGAAAACTTTAATCAGACGATACTAAAAAGCTCGAAAAAGAAAGAGAGAGAAGGCTCTCCGATAAAACTAAATTTCGTACAACATTCAGAACTCATAAAATTACTATTTCTTTTGATGTCAAATTTTCTCTCTCCTTCAAATCTTTTCTCTTGATTCGTTTGTGTGTTTAGACGCAGCTACATTCACTGGACACGGCGAGTGTATCTGAGAAACTCTCGCTGCATTAAGGAAATTAATCCGGAAATGGCGGTATGAAACAAGTGAGTCATTCTACTCGTTGTGGTTCTCGTTGTGTTCGCAAGAACAGTCGAACTACTGAATTTCAAAATTGCATTACATACAGAGTTTCTCCTTATTAATCGCGCAAATTTATTCATGCGCGCTGTTCGTCTAGAAATAAGAATATTGCTCGTCGCGTAACTTCAAAGAAGTAAAATCGCTGACTAGACTAGATTTTCCACGAACGCGGAATTACGCGCGCAAGCGAATTTTAATTTCCGAACGACCGAACCGAGCCGCGCTACCGTTAAAAGGGACCACGCTATTATTCCGCGCTGTTAATCAAGATAGAGCGTGAGTAATTGACGAGCTGGAAGGAGGAGGCCCTGTCGCGCGATTTCGCACGCAATGGCGCGCGATGGTCGCACGCAGTAGTCGATTTGAATTTCGACGTGCACACTAACCTCTGCTATTGTTGTGGGCCGCGGGAGCGCGACCCGACTGCGAACGATGAAATTTCTCCACGAGTACGTGGTGCTGCGCGTGTTATCGCGCTCCGTCGTCCCAATCCCGGTCCTTGAATTCTCAAATCGCAATCGCGCGCTTCTGAATTTCACTGATCCGCGCAGAAACGTAAAGCGGGAGAAAAAAAATTGGAGCCGCGATGAGAAACGTGACTGACACACTTCGCGAGCGGCGAAAGTATTACGTCGAGTCGCTGCAGCATTCTACAACACAACCGTCGCGCTGCACGGCTCAGCGACGTCTGGCGACGTCTCTCTATTGTGATGCGCGCGAACCCCCGCCGGTTGCTATGACATCGATTCGTGGAGCGCGCGATTGGCCGAGAAACGCTAGAAGTAGGGCTAATTCGAGAAATGTACAACTTTACAATAAGCGCGAAAAATGAAATTTGCGTTACTGAAAATGAGAAAAAGATAAATAATAAACCTCGCTTTGTAAAAAATAAAAATTTAAAAAAAAAGATGGCGCACTTATTTGTACATACTTGTTTCCTAGATTTTTACTGTTTTAAAATATCAATACCTTTATGTAAAGTGTATTAATCGTTTTAACAATATAATTCTTACATATAAATATCATACATCTATTTTTAATGAAACATTAATAAAATTATTGAGATGAGATTTAAATATTCAGAATAAAGGAAGTTCAAATTGCACAAAGAGTAGCTTAAGTTATTTTTATTAATATACTTTTTCTGGCATATCAATATCTATACATACAATTTGTATAACAAGCACATCATTCAACAAGCGACTCCAAATCATATACAACAAAGATTATTAACGAATACTGTGACTACTGTTGTGACAATGTTAATTGACATTTTTTTAATAAGGATTTTAGCACAGAAAATGTGATAAAATATAAACGTTTGAATGTAAAAATGTCTCATCTGATATATTTAATTCTGTGCGTTTGATATGATCACGAGTTCCATGATTTTTTTATAAACCGAAATTAATCACCTCGCCACTTCTTGTGAATCTGTTGTAAATGCTCATAAGTTCGTTGCGAGATATTGAGTTCGGGGTTTATCGAGCACAGACCAGACTGTCCCAAGAGACTTAAACCACCTAAACCTGTTAAAAAAAATTATTATATACATTATTAATAAAATTAATTATATACATTATTATACATTGATAAGATTAAATATCTCCTGTGAGACGACAGATACATTTATATTTAAAAATATCTATTTATATGTATATTGTAAAGCAAAAATAAAATGCATTTATTTTACTCACCTAAATATGTGTGCAAAGGATCAGGTCGAGTGTTTTCAAACTTTGCCAATCCTCCGACGTACGTATCTTGTGTATTAAGAATAAACGCTTTATTCTGTTCGGCGTCTGAAAAGTTGAGAAACTCCAGCAGCTCAAGCGTAGCACCAACCCAGAAACTGTAACACGTGTCAGATGGTTTTCCTGGTCTCCCATGAAATCCACCATCCTGTCTCATAAGGCACCAACGCTTCAGCCGAGCCAAACGATTCCACGTCAATATATCTAATATGTTAACATGTTCTTTCATCAGAAACAGACTTGCCACAGCGCAGAAAGTGGATCCTCCATGAGATTCAAGACCTGGTCCTTGTCCAATGCCACCGTCGTACGACTGCAATTATCGTAACGTGAGCCATCTGTTACACTAGCAAAGGAAAGTAAAGATAACAATGCTTACAAAGCTTATAAATAATAACACAATAATAATTGATAAAAATATAATACTTACAATGCTTTGTAGAATATAATTAACAGCCTTTGGAATGTTGACTCCTGACCAATCGTCTAAAATCGCAGAGACGCAAGAGGCACAGTAGAGAAATCTCATATCACTCTCACATCCCGTTACCATGGCGGTGAAGGATCCGTCAGGATTTTGACAGGCGCGAACACCTTCAACGATAGATTGTCTATCTACTCGACCTAAATCATCGCCGAGAATCAAGAGGGTAACTAAACCTGTATAGGTCATTGCTAAATGACCACACTGATACTCAGGAACATCCTTTGGTATCGTTGTAGACGCCTGAAAGCCAGAACGCGGTCCAGCTCTCTCAACCTGCAGACTATAGATCCAGTCGACAACCTCGGACTTAGCCTGTTCACCAATCTCGTCTAATGAATTTAATAAATCTAGACCAGACAGCGCAAAATATGCTATCATCAATCTGGTAGAATCGAATTCAGCCAGGCCGCTAGGCATGATCTGTAGTAACCTTTGAAAGTACTTGGCATGCTTCTCTCTCGCTAATTGCGGCGACATGGTTATTGTACAATGTAGGTTGCAGTGAAAAATGTCACGCTGAATCGACGCAACATACGTTTTAATACGCCTCAAAGAGTTGACGATCCCGTACTATCTGCGCGAACGTGATGACAACTCATACGTGTAGTATTTATCAGTCCACTTTCCTCTCTTTTTCCATGCTAGCTTGTCAAAAATCTTGGTATCGCATAGATTTATTATAAATGTTCGGATCACAATGACGCATTTTATGTGTTTTTTTTACGCCGAATCTGATTATTAATTAAAATCATGCACTATAGTTTCCCTCGCCGCGCCTAATTCAATGTAAGGTTACGTTTGCTTATATTTGGTGTCTAGTCACGTCTGACAGATGAACTCAGCGACATATGATACCAACATTTGAATACAAAACTCACTGAACTATATAGTCCCAGACTTATGCCCGTATCAGACTACACATTGAAGATTAAGGTTGAAGTTTGAAGACTGAAATTTGACCAATCAGGACAAAAAACTTTTAGCTCCTTTTGTTTCGATTGGTCAAATTTCAATCTTTAATCTTCAATCTTCAATGCGTAGTCCGATGCGGACTTTAAGATGCTATCAGAAAGATAGCAAACCAATCAGAAAGCTACATTAGTATCTTAATTAGGGACACTTTTTCAGAATAGCCAACTTTGAAACTTGTATCGTCAATCTTAAAATCTTTTAGTATATTGATAAAAAGTGTAGAAATTGACTATAAAAAAAGATCTTGCGATACTAACACCAGAGAGAAACCTGATGGCTGGTTTATGCTTCGGTCTTAATCTTAATCTTATAGCGTTTTCGATTATACAGGATTTGAACGACCCAGGGTTGATCAATCACTATTTTACTATAAATGCAAGTCTTTCATTGGTGGAGAGGTTGCAATGACGTCATTAACCAACCCTGGGTCGTTCAAATCCTGTATAA